TTACTGTGTTTATCTTGTAAACAACAAAAAAAAGTTTTAAAAAGAGTCAACATCTAAGTAGGGAGATACTTTTTTTTTTTTAATACTGCAGCATTATGAACTATATGCAGAAAATAAGAGGATCACTTTTTAAAATCGGAGTATAGCATCAAGTCGATGAAACTCCTGGGATATTGATCAGGTCAGTAAAGTAGCAGAGGAAGTTGTTAATTTCATTAACACCAGGCAGCTGGCACTGATTAACAGGTGCCCTAGATGGGCAGCAATGGGACGACCTCTAAGGGTGCCCATACACCTTACGATAATCGTATGCGATCGACTTATCGTACGACAAGCGCAAGGTGTATGGGGAGTGTGCAACCGCCAGCACTGTACAATCGTACAACTTTTGTCTTTCCAGCATGTTTGAAAACTGTGGTCGATCGTACGATTATTGCAAGGTTAGTGGCTTTTCCGTATGTCAAAAATCGTACGATCTACACAGCTCATGCACAAACGAAAATATGCGTGGTTGATTACCGCAATTCGTCCAGGTGCTTTTCGTTAATTACGACAATCGTACGACGGTTCGATCATCGGACGAAAAGTGTCATCCGATAATCGTAAGGTGTATGACCACCTTAAAACAGGAATGGTTTTACAGGTGGAGGCCACTGACATTTTTTTCCCCTACTCATCTTTTCTGACTGTTTTTCAATAGTTTTGCATTTGGCTGGAGTTCGTGTCACTACTGGTAGCATGAGGCAATAACTGGACCCTATAGAGGTTGCACAGGCATGCCAACTCCTCCAGGATGGCACATCAATAAGTGCCATTGCCAGAAGGTTTGCTGCGTCTCCCAGAACAGTCTCAAGAGCATGGAGGAGATTCCAGGACACAGGCAGTTACTCTTGGAGAGCTGGACAGGGCCGTAGGTGGTCCTTAACCCATCAGCAGGACCGGTATCTGCTCCTTTGTGCAAAGAGGAAAAAGGATGAGCCGTACAAAATGACCTCCAGCAGGCCACTGGTGGGAATGTCTCTGACCAATCAGAAACAGACTTCACGAGGGTGGCCTGTGGGCCCGACATCCTCTAGTGGGCCCTGTGCTTACTGCCCAGCACCGTGGAGGTCAATTGGCATTTGCCATTGAACACCAGAATTGGCAGGTCCGCCACTGGCGCTCTGTGCTTTTCCCAGATGAGAGCCGATTCACCCTGAGCACATATGACAGACGTGAAAGTGTCTGGAGAAGCTGTGGAGAACGTTATTCCTGTAATCGTTCAGCATGACCGGTTTGGTGGTCGGTCAGTGATTGTCTGGGGAGGCATATCCATGGAGGGACGCACAGACCTCTACAGGCTAGTCAATGGCACCCTGACTGCCATTAGGTATCGGGATGAAATCCTTGGACCCATTGTCAGACCCCAAGCTGGTGCAGTGGGTTCTGGGTTCCTCCTGGTGCACGACAATGCCCGGCCTCATGTGGCGAGTGTATGCAGCCAGTTCCTTGAGGATGAAGGAATTTATAGCATTGAATGGCCCCCACGCTCACCTGACCTGAATCCAACAGAACACCTCTGGGACACTATGTCTCGGCCCATCCGAACCCACCAGGTTGCACCTCAGTCTGTTCAGGAGCTCTGTGTTGCCCTGGTCCAAGATCTGGGAGGAGATACCCCAGGACACCATCGGTCTCATTCGGAGCATGCCCTGGCGTTGTAAGGCATCCATACAAGCACGTGGGGGCCATACAAACTTTAATGAGTACCATTTTGAGTTGCTGCAATGAAATTTAAGCGCAATGGACTAGCCTGCAGCATCATTTGTTCACTTTGATGGAAATAAAAAATGATCATCCTACAGAGGGCTGAATTCACAGACATCTCAAAAATCAAACAATGTGGCATCCTTTCCTTCCTAACACATTACACAACATGATATTTGGAGATCCGATATATAGATATAT